AAGTAACCCTCACACCCCATCCGGTGCTCTGCAAACATGTGACAAATGTTCTTGGACTCTGATTAACAAACATCCCATAGGAATGACTGATAAATACATCTTTTGCAGATTGCAATCGTCATTACCGACGGTCAGCAGACCACGGATAGAGGGCCTTTCCGAAATCAAATAAGAAAACGCTCTTCAGAAAATTTCAAAGAAAAAAGAAGAATTTTGATCGTCACGTTATGCATACTATATTAAACCTCAATATTTTCTTTAGCATATGAGTGAAAATTGTTCGAGTGCAATAAAGGGAAGCTGGCAGCCCCACTTCCCCCCTCGGAATGAAAACTGGCAGTCCCCTCTCCTCCCCAGGAAAGAAAACTTGCGGCCTCCCTAGACCCTCCCCCCGCGATAAAATAATGACTGTTCCCGTAGTTTTCATCTTTACTGATAGAAATCCAGGAATCTTTTTTCACTTGTTAATACTTTTAGAAGCATCTCGCTTCTTTAAATTGCTTAACCAAGTGAATAACGGATAGGGATGGACGGTTTGGGTAAACGGTAGAGTTTTGATTATCACTCAAGCTTCAAGAGCTGATTATTTAAACAAAGTTTAGCTGTTCTTTAGCAAAAATGCGTTCTGGGCCATCTTCTCTTTAGCAGAACCTCTTACCCGAAAAGTTATTTTTGCAAAAAAGGCCAAAACCGCCGAAAGCTAATAGTGGAAGGACATGTCTTCAATCAAATCAACCCTCTTATGGCGGATCCCCGAGGCCCACTGCGATATTTGCTGGGCGCGGAAAAATTGTTTGCAGATGTGTTGGATGACCCTGCTCCGATGAAATCTCACCGTTTTCGGGATGTCCCTGGAAAATCAAAATTTATTACACCGGAAACAAGAAAAGCTATGTGGAAGAGAAATGCTCTAAAGCGTAAATTTTATCGAACTCGATCAACAGATGACTGGGAGGCCTACAGATGTCAAAGAAACCTGGTTGTTGCTCCGCGTCGTCAATCTATTATACATCATTTTGATCAGCTATGCTCTTAGCGAGCGGCTAATCCGAGGGCTTTCTGGAAATCACTGCGGCCTTTAATGCATACCAGAAAACACAGGTCCTAGGACTTTATTGTTCTCAAAGAAAATGACAGAATCATCAGGGACCAGAGTGAAGTTGCTGAAACCTTTAATGAGTACTTGATTAACATCACGAAGGATTTGATTATTCTTGATCACAGTGCTTTCAGTGATCAGGCTCATTTAAAGAGAATTCCTGGGGTAAACAATGAAGCAGCTGATGCATTTAGTTTTCAGTTGAGTAACCATCATGTTGTAAAAACGGTACTTGAAGATGTCAAGGCAAACAAAGCACAGGAATACGACTTTTTTCCACCACAGGCTGTTAAAACTTCATCGGGCTCTATAACAAAGGCTATAAGTGATCTAGTTAATACCATTATAACAACAGCACAAGTTCCGGATAACTGGAAACGAGGCCAAATTACACCACTTCACAAACTGGATAGTGCCTTAGCCAAGACAAATTTCAGACCGGTCACCGTATTGCCTGCAAAAGCAGGCAATACGGTGACTGGTCTGAAATTGAAGTTTTAACAGTATTTGAGAAAATCATTCACATGCAGTTGACTGATGATTTCGAATCAATATTTCATGACTATCTGTTTCCTTATCTCAAATTTTACAGTTGTCTCACGGCTCTTTTAGCAGACCTTAACAGAGGACTGGAGAGCTGAACTTGACAAGCACAAAACTATTGGAACGGTAGTAATCGACCTTAGCAAGGCGTTTGATTGCCTACCCCACGATCTGCTCCTTGAGAAACTTCATTTTTTATGGACTTGAAAAAAGTTCCGTTTCACTCTTACGGAGTTACTTATCTTCCCGATATCAACGGGTTAAGTTGGGGAATACTTCCTCCACGTGGATGGGTGTGCATACCGGAGTACCACAAGGGTCATTACTAGGACCGCTATTGTTTAACATCTTCATGAATGACCTCATATTCGCGGTTGAGAATTGTAGACTTCTTAGTTATGCAGACGACACTAAACTCTATTTATCACACCATGATCCCCGAGCAAACCTNTCGGTCATCTGGTAGATGCTTGGCAAGGCGCTTATGGATATCTTTTTCCGGTTGAGAGGCAAACTCATGAGCGAGCTTTACTTCCTTTCTGCGGCTTTCCTTGCTGCTGCAGTGATAGCGTCTTCCAATTTCCCGTCTGCACTGAGCTTGGAATACTCTTCAGGAGCGTTGTTTTTAATAAGCGCCAACGCCCCTTGCACAGCTTCCGAGACTTTCTCACTGTCTGTCGCCATTTTCGATCAAGGAAACTTAGGTAGCTGTGAATGAAAAGCAGAAAAGACCAATTTCAAAATGTCATTGCAGCAATGGTCTTTCCAATTAAAAAAGATTCTACACCAATGAACGCAAACACTGCCGCATAATCAAATTTAATTTAGCCATGTTATCCAGATTTGGACCTGGAGAAATCTATATATGACGATCACTACAGAAGGAAGCTGTTTGCTAACGAGATATCTAGATATTACTTTATTTCATTTGAATGGCACTTTTTTTATCTACATCATTTCGAGACAATTAATCGAATGGAGAGATGAACATTTCAACTATGACCTTTAACTATGCAACTACGGTACAGTTAGAAAATGTAAAGAAAATTTTCCTTAGTCTCCTCAAATATTTCACTAATCTTTGACAAATTTTTTCATTGATACGGGTAGAGATGAATGGTTTGAGTGAGCGGATGGGTATGAGTTGTGATTATAATTCAAACTTCAAGAGCTGATTATTCAAACAAAAGTTAGCCGTTCCTTAGCAAAAATGCATTCTGAGCCATCTTCATATTAGCAGAACCTCTTATCCGAAAAACTATTTTGTAAAAAGAGTCAAGAGCGCCGAAAGCTAATAGTGGAGATAGAGCTGAATAATGAAATGCAACGTCAGAGGGTATGCGGTAAACAACGCAGGCTCAAGTGTCCTAGGTCTAAAATTTAGCGAAATTAGCGGAAAATAATATTAAAGACTGACTTTTAAAACCGAGGAACTCTGTTTTCGTCGAAGGCATCTTCCTATTTCCAGAGGTTTCAAGGAGAAAATTGATTTTTGAAAATTTTTAGGGAGTCTAGGAAGTTTTTGGAGGTTGTTCTGTAAAAAAAAAGCGGCAAGGAAAACGACGCCTCGAAGCAACAGAATAGGAAATCAAACATGCGAACGACTCAAAATCCGTGTTTCCGCGGCAAAACCTAGCGCATGCGTATACGTTATTTAGCTCTGTCAATAGTGGAAGGATATCTCTTTAATCAAAAAAACCCTCTCATGGCGAATCCCTGAGGCCCACTGGTTGTGTAATACAGTGGTTTGGTTTAGACCTCGTGTAGATAACTGACCCCAAATGTGGTTTTTAGACTGCTTGTTGTTGCCGTACTCGTTATACCATCCTCAAGTTGGGTGGAAACCGCCTTCTGGAGGTTATATGTCCAAAAATAGCTTTTATCTAAAGATGTAGAGATCATTTTTCTTTCTACTATCATAAATTTACTAATTGTCTCGCTCTGAAATTTTTCCGTGAGAGATCTCAGTCTTTTTGAAAGTCATCTGAAGGTTATTAGTCTCGCGTTTTCTTAACTTGACGCTGAATGCCTGGCCACCTCAGGTCGAAATTACAGCCGGAACTACCGCTGTTGATTTGAATATTCCTAGAAGGGGACCAGTCATTATGGGAGGATTTTGGTTGTCAAGATAAAATTTATCCGATCTCTCCAAAAGCCCTGTAATATCCTTATAAACTGGCAGTCAATGAATTAGTGTCCCCTTCAAACTCTGTTGTCGACGACTGATCCCCTCCCCTCTACCCCTTAAAAACTACGTGGCCCCCTCCCTCCCCAAAAAAATACTTCGCCTGGTCCCTGACCTTTTATTTAATAATTGGTTCATGCTTTAGCGTGCACTATCGAGTTATGGAGCACGCGGGAAGTTTGGAGAGCACGAAAGAAGCGTAAGAGTTGCCCGAGGCG